AATAAAAAATGTCTTTTGCACCACACAAATGGACTTTTTCTTATCATTCGTAATCTCTCTAAAGAGTATCTAACAAAAGTTTTTACTCTATATTGCTGTGAAAAATTTACTATTCTAGAAAATTATGGACTGCAATAAGCTAGAACTCAAAAGAATCATAAGCTAGCAACATTTTTCGAAGTGCTACTCTTTACATGAGATGATATTTTTTTAAAATTATCGTTTTCTTTGATTGGCGATATTTAAAATGCAACAGATTCCGATGATTTGCAATGATATGTTGGAAGCAAAGCCAATTGAACATTTTTTAGAGAAAGCTTCGTTCTACAAAATGGTATATAAACCATATTCCTAAAACTTGAATTGAGCAGTTTTAATCAAAACACAAAAATGAACTACATAATTTATTCTGTACAAACGTCATTTTTGGTCCCCATCAAAGATTTGCTCTCATTGATTCAAGTTGAAGTTAGAAGAAAATTCTGAATACACATTTAAAGAGAGAATCAAATTCTGATTCGAACTGATTACTTTTCATTTTCTCAAGTTACTTCAAAGTGGCCGAAAAATAAACAAATATTCTGTACGAAGACTTTCTTAGCAGAGGTTAGATCTTCGTCTGCTTCAACGACTTCATTTATCATCTTCATTTTATTTTTAATATAACAATGAATCTTTCTTTATCTGTTTACTAAATAAATATTTATTTCTAAAATATCTATCGAACGCAAACATTTGTTGAATTTCCAAACGTTTCCACATTTTCTACTATTAACCAATTTATTCTTCATAGTAGATTTTTTATTGATAATATAACCTTTCCAATAAGAGCTTTTAACAAGAGCTGTCAACATACATCATCAAATATGTGTTTTTATTTGCATTTCTCATTTCGAAATATATCGCAGAATAATCATAAGAGAAAAAAAAGATTGAAATGAAATTAACGATCTATGTTAGTAACAGATAAAAGCTTAATATGATCTTATTAAATTTACAATTTGAGATTTATTTCAAGGTCACAATAACAGAGATTAAAATATGAAGCACGATGTATATTTTGTTATTAAAAACGGGATAACTATTTTATTCAGTATACCTTCAGACCAATTTAATCGCTACTTCTTACTTAGCATACAAGAATTTCAATAAGAAAACCCGTTGATTATATTTTTATCAGTAGTGTCAAACCTTAAATTTTAAACTCTCAAGACAGACTTGGTGTAAGTCGTTTCATGGCACTCACATTGAGAGAGATGTAATATAAGTCATTTCGTGGCTTGAAACTCGAAAGTTCGTTTGACTTTGGAAACTGAAAACTTAAAAGTTGAAAACTCAATTGAATTGAAGTTTCAAGCTTTTCATATATGCCACTGAGAAGACGTGCAAGCAAAGAGCAAACAATTGCATTATGAAGATCTATAACATTTGCCTGTGAATATAGGTTGCGTTAAACACATCATTTTATTGTTTTTTAAGTCTTATTGTATCTAGTACAACAGCAATTGTTTATCTATAAAATCCAACAAGCATTCGAAGATTTTCTTTTCAACTAAAAAGTAGAAAATAGTTAATTATAATACAATCACTGCGAGGAAAATTTATTACTTCGACTAGTAATCTCATTGCTAATCAATTGCCGTATTTTATTCTACATCAAATTGAATATTTGATTCTCTATTAAAGCCATTTTAAACGCTTCTGTGTGTGTGATGTCTATTAAAGCATCTATAATAGAAATATATACACTTACATTTAATAACATCACATATTCATAATCATAGATTGGTGTCCAACTGCATCAATATTTTATTTGTTCGAGTGTCTCGAATTTTTCTTCCAATAAATATTTTAAAAGTTTAATACAAAACTGTGTAGACAAAATTATTGGTTTTTATTGTCATTGTCCTTTATTTTGGTAGTGAACCATATCTAAAAACAATGAGACTAGATCATATATCAAATGCACTATTAAGTCTCTAGACTACTATTGATGTGAAGTTTTCAAGATAAAAATCAATGTTATTTTTGCATCCCCTATTGATCTTCCTGACTATATGAGTTAGATACAGCGTGATTCCAGTACATATCTTAAATATGGCAAAAACTGCCTTGACACACTCACAAATCATTTTATGAGTCGATATATTGTATTTAAATTACTAAAGTCGATTTAGAAGCTAATACAGATATTTTTTTGCATTTAGAAGATTAAAGGACCGAAAATATTTTAATGAAAACTATTTTTGAGAAAAAAAACAGACTAAGATGATTGCTTATGTAGAGAGCAAATCAAATAATTTTCAGATTCTCTTCGTTTAATCGATTCTTCACAGAGTAAGAACAGTTTACGGTACATTCTGAATTATACCCAACATTCTCATCATCTTGATTGAGTCTTTATAAATCTGTAGATTTTGAAGGATTTGCTAGGGCTCAGACACTGACATCTACATTATTTTTGCTTAGCATTTTTCAATGACTAATTTGTCAGAAGTAGCATGAAGTCAAAGCAAATATGATTGCGCTAAGCAGAACGACAACATAACACAAAATATAAAAGCACGTGTATTGACAAAATAATGTTGTTATTTTTCGTTTCTTCATAAAAGTAGACACCAAAAATGGATGAAAAGTGTCAGTCATCACTTGATACACTACCGGTCGAAATCCTCTATCGAGTTTTGGACCATCTGCGTTGTGAAACGATCATAATGTCGGTAGCCAATGTTTGTAGACGATTTCATGGCATTGTGGATACGTATGACCATTACTATCTTGATTTGAGTTCAATTTCCAAATCCAATTTTTATGTTATATGCCGTAATATTCGACCAGAAAATGTTGTTTCACTAACACTCTCAGATGATGAGAAGACACCAGGTCAAATAGGGTTATTTTTGTCGTGTTTCAATATTCATGCCTTTAGACGATTGCGTTACTTAACCTTGATAGAAATCGCGGCACAAGATCAGTTGAAGATCAGTCACCAGTTGAAATCATGTTCGCTCATCTCATTGACTATTAATACTCGAGGAACTCATATAAAACCGCCTGTAAAAATGATCACATCCGCTATCGAGCAACCAACACTTTGTAAGATAAATCTTGCAATTACCGAGTCTGTACTTGACAAAATTCCATGGCCTGTCGATTGCTCACTACAACATCTTACAATTAAGATATGCACACAAGACCAATATGTGACCATTCTTCGTCGATTGCCTCGTCTTAAAACACTAGACGTTGCCATACATTCGGTCAGCACCACTATTTCAACTTCGTCAATAATTCATAGATCATTGGTCATTCTCACAATGAACATTGGTACTGGGCTCATAACGGCATTCGAGTCATTGTTGCAGATGACACCCTTACTTGTACATCTAAAGCTCATCAGTCGTGGTTATGATTGTCGACTCATGTCAGATAGTTCCCGTTGGGAAGAATTTATTCAACTCACGTTACCTGACCTTGACAGATTCGAGTTTTTCTTCAGTGTTATTCATCAACAGCAGGACTCAGTGCTCGATGTTGAAACATTGATTGAAACTTTCGGACGACCATTCTGGCTCGAACACAAACGTTGGTTCGTTTGCTGTGAGCAAAGCAAAACGTCACGATTCAGAACTGACTTGTATACAGTGCCCATTTGTGTAAGTCATCTCATATATCAAAAATCAATCCGAAAGGTTTTCTCCACTGCCGAGAGTTTACCAGAGAAAGCAGCCTATCGTGTTGATACACTTGATGTTGATATGACGGAAAAACCATTATCGACCGTTTTAGAAGAGGTAAGTTTTTTAGTAAATGACATGACAGTTTCATTGTCGTAATAGAAAATTTTGCATTCAACAATACAAATAGAAAATATTTCTCTTGATTCTTTAAGAATAGTTCAAAGACTATCATATTGTTTGATCAAGTGACCAATGTCAACCTTACTCTAGGCAGAGAAAAAATACTTGGATCAATCGACTTTCTTTCAACACTCATCGATATCTCAAGACTTCAACACATATCGATCTGTCTTACAACTGGTTTTAAGCCGAATTACAATCCAATGGTCCACATTTGCATTCTTCTAGAACGAGCATGTAGTCTTCGTTCGTTTGCCATATATTTTAGTTGGCTATGGAATAATTACTTCAAAAATTTGAAGGATATTTGTTCGACATTACCCAGACATGTACAGCATTTACGAGTAGATATACAATCGGTTGAACAAATGAAGGAACTCTTCAAACAAATAGCGCATGTATCCAGTATATCATTTCGGTCAATCGGATGGGAACGTCTACAATTTGATGACTTTCTTTCATGGCTAGCTGAAAAAGGCACAGATTTCACTTACATCACTATAAAAAATGAGCTTCATATGTGGCTAGGAAAAATTGGAAGGAAAAACGATGAAATTTTATATCGAAACAAACGCCTGAAAACGAGTCTTTAACATATATTTTGTCAATCCATTGTCTTTTTTTGAATTCCATAATTTCTACATATCGTCTATTAAACGTTCAGACTCATTTCTAACAAATGACACAGTCCGCACCAAGAGTCTCGTACTTATTTACTTTGAGTTTTGCATAAAATCTTTAAGACATTAATGCAATGTGATCATTTAACTACTTAGATAGCAGAAGTCTCTTACTATATTTGTGATAAATAACGTCCAAAATACTCTATTGACATTTATTCCAACTATTTGGTTAAAGAGGTTTTAATAAGCATACCTTTCTCTAAAGAATTCACTGTGTCCTATTTGTCCAGAAAATAGGCATTTGGCCTATTTAAATTAACTTCTTTTCATGTTTTCTGGACTTTTATTAGAAAAAAATGCTTTCGAAACAGGGGTGTGGGTGTGGGTGTCGGTGGGTATACTAGTGACGGAAGAAAAGATACACACCCACACCAACACCTACACCGACACACCCACACTCCACACTCACACCCACACCCCGCACTCCACACTCACAACCACACCCCGCACTCCACACTCACACCCACACCCCACACCCACGCCCATCACTATCTTCTTCAGGTTCATCGACGGGTGATTGAGATAAATAGTCTGGCATACTATTGAATGAACCTTTAATGTGTTTGACTGTAATATCATAGGTTTGCAATTTCAAACGCCAACGTTCACATTTATCATTCAATTGAATTTTCTGTGCGAGTGCTTCTAATGGTTTATGATCTGATTCCAAAACAAAACGATTACCGTGCAGATAATGGTCCCATTGCTCAATAGCCTTCACGATCGCATAGCGTTCCTGTTCAATTGGCGGCCAACGTTGCTGAGTCGGTGTAAATTTCTTTGACATATAACAGACAGGTCGATCACCTTCCGGATATGCCTGAAGTAAAACAGCTCCAATACCTTGATGAGAAGCATCCGTTTGTACTTTGAAAAGAAGCTGGTTGTTAGGAAGCCGGAGAACTACATCAGTCGTAAGAATTTGCTTTAATTGTTCGAAAGCAAATTCTTCAACAGACGAAAAATAAAATTTTTTCGATCGTACAGCAGTAGTACGTGTAGTAGATGGGTTATATTTATACAATGGTGCGGCAATTGTTGAAAAATTTGGAATAAATTTACGATAGTACTCAGCAGCTTTTAAAAAACAAAAGATTTCCTTTGATGCTTTTGGTGGAGGTGTTTGTAGTAAACCACGTATATAATCATTAATCGGACGAAGTTCATTATTGCGAATGGCATGTTCAAGATAAACGATACTATCGGTAGCAATCGTACATTTGTCTATACTCAAACGAAAATTGTATGTGGCTAGTAATTATAAAACTTCATTCAAGTGAGACACATGATCATCGAAGGTTTTTGAAAAAATGATAACATCATCTATATATGCCAAGCTATGTTTCCATCGTGCTGGACCGATAATGCGATTGACGATACGTTGAAAGGTAGGGGGACTATTTTTTGACCCCTTGACGAAGAACCGTGAATTGATAATGATTATCTCTTGTTGAAAATGCTGTTTCCGGTCGGTCTTGATGTGCTAGTGGAATTTGAAAATACCCATTCTTAAAATCGAGCTTCGCAAAATATAAAGACTGAGAGAGTTGATCGAATATGTCATCAATATGAGGCAGCGGAAAAGAATCCATTACAGTGATGTCATTCAATTTACGATAGTCAACGCAAAGACGGGTACCACCGTCTTTTTTCCGAACTAAAACACCAGGTGAACTCCAAGGTGATGTAGACGGTTCGATTATGTGTTGGCTCAGTAATTTATGTGCCTCGGTAGCGATTGCTTGATGGTCAAGAGGTGATCTTCTGTAAGGCGGAGTATAAATAGGTCTATGATTCCCAGTCTCAATCGCATTATCGATAGTTATAGTGATTTTAGAAGGTTTGCGAGTGTCAAACAATTGACCATACCTCCGGAGTACCCCTTGAATTTTTGTTCGGTCTGTGACACGATTGATATGTTTAGTAAGATTTTCGATTTGTTGTCGAAGTTCAGATGGATAGCAAATTTCGCAAAGATGACGATAAAGATCATTGTGCGATAAAAATCTTGTTCCGCAAATATAACATTGATTCAGTAAATGGTGATTAATGTGATCAATGGCTGATGATGGATGAGAAAGCGTAGAGATGGAATTTCTCTTTGGTGTAATGGTACAAATAATAGGTGTATGAGTGACTGTACCCCAACGCGTGTGTTTTGGTATAGTAAACGGACGATCTGTAGTGTTTGTGATCTTTAATTGTGTTGCATGATTGTTTACCAGCAGTATAACATTCGGAAGTAAAATAGATTTTTGTTGAAGAGCGGGTGAGGGTTCAAATAAAATATTGGGGGTGTTGGATATGCGAACTGAAGCTTTGACAGGGTATTCTGAGTATGCTGGAATGATTACTTGATCTGATAATAAAACAGGAGAACAGAGTATATTATTGGATGGAATAAACGGAGTGCTAGTTACACTACCACGATGATCTTGTACTGTTAATTGTTGCTTAGAAATATTAATACAAATGACATATTTATGAATCCAATCGGTTTCTAATAATACATCGGTGACAAGGTTTATAGCAACGGTTGCATTAATAAAAGTAAGAACACCATTTATTTTTATTTCAAGTTGAACTTGACCGATTATTTGAATAGTTGTACAATTAGCGGAATTATAGGACTTACGGATTGATTTGAAGGCTTTATGTTGTATACATTGTAGAAAACGACGATGAATGATAGTTATACCAGACCCAGTATTGAGGAGAATATTTTGATAGGTATCATTAATTTGAGCACGAATAAAAAGAGGATTATTAAAAATGAGGGATGATGGTATAGAAGTACTGGAAGCTCCGTCATCTTGAGTCCCAGTTACTGGAAAACTTGCGGACAATTGCGGACTTGATGCGTAGTATTACCACATTTATAACATCCACGTGGTTGTTTCGGGAAACAATCAATAGTACGATGATTGGATCTATTACAAATAAGGCATGGAGAAAATTGACGTGAGCGATTCGTATTTCGAAATGATGGATATACATTATGAGCATTAGAAATGGTAGATAATGGCACTCAATCTGGAAATGTATCGATTGATTTACTCGTTGCAGCGGTAATTCGAGCAAAATATGGTTGCGCAGGTGTAAAAGATGGCTGAAGATCGGATAACATATCATTTTGTAGTTCTTCTTCATCACGAGCAATTTTTAAAAACATGGCAGGTGTTAATGCTTATTTTATACTTTTGAGTTGACGTTTGACATGCACTTTTAATTCGTTACGAATTCCATCTTGTAAGTGATCTACAATCATGTGTAATGGCATATTACTATCAACTTGCTTACATAAATCAATAACATCATCGTAATAAGCTAATAATGTTTCTCCTGGTTGTTGCTTACGCTCTTTTAATTGAATTTTCGCTGCAGATAAAGACGGTGTAAATCGTTCTAATAGATGTTGTTTTAAATCAGGCCACGTGCGTAGTGTTTGTTTATTATTATCGTACCAATTGAATGCTGCAGCACCGAGTTTGATAGTAGCAATCGAATGCAATAAAGAATCATTCAATTCAGTAAAATTTCTGATTTGTTCAATAGCATGAATAAATTGAGGAATTTTTTGGGTGAGTTCACCAGTAAATTTAGGTAATTCCTTGATGGCTGTAGTTTGAATAACAGTTAGAAAACAACCAGACTCCATGGTATTTGACAAAGTAAGTCGTTGAGAAACTGCACCAGGTGTAACAGTACGTACAGAATTAGTGTGATTGATTGTATGAGGTGGACGTCGAACACGACCGTATGTAATTATATCATGTGGTAATAGGCCATCAGGTGTGGTGTTACTTGGTAACTGCCTACTATGTTGATTAGAACTCGTTTTTGAAAAATAATGAAAAACAAGGTATAGTATTACGAAAACACAATAAATCGAAGTGAATACGATAAACAGCGATAGTTGTAAAACGACGTTGTAAAATACGTGAAAGTAATAATAATTATCTGAAGACGGATGACGGCACCAAATATCTGAGGTCCCCTCTTGCTTCTTTCTTTTAGTTCGATATTATTTCGAATGATGAGAAAACAAAAAAAGAATCAAAGAATGTGAACAAAGGGAATGAAAGCAGAACAGAAAGAGAAGCAGAGAATGTCAAAGACGAATAGAGAGAAAACGGATAGGAACAGCTGAAGCGATGTGAAGGTATGTGAACAACATGCTTGTAACAAGCGCCAGTACAAATAGAAAATTTTCTTTTCTTAGGTATCGAAGAATAAAAAAGAAAGATCATTTTTATACCGATAGATTACGTTGGAAAACAAATATGAAGTGTGACACTTTTTCTTCATTTTACGTATTGTACATACGTACAATAACAAGCTTTTTAATCAATAAAAATTAGTCACTCCATGAAATGGTTATCTGTGCATATTGTGAATCGCTCTGGTATCGACTTAGTGCTTGTCAGACAACTAGAGATCCGTCGACAATATTGTTACGACATGGAGGTTGGCCTGCATATACTGCATCCCATACATTGATTGAATCGTATTCGTCAACGACTTGTGCTGTTGTCGTCTTATCATTGCCACAAATGGTAGCCATTTTTCCACATCATGATCCTCCGTTGTACTATCCTGTTGACAAGACGATGGCACGCTCCGCGTCAGAATAAAACTTTCGAAAACATTCACCTGCACCACAACCATCACCGTATTGTTGAAGACTATTCAATGTGAGTATAGCCGAATCCAAGGGGGAAACTACTGATTCAACTCAGATGAAACTCAAAATAAATCACCAAACTCAGCTGAACTCATTTTAAATCAGATAAATCACCGAAACTCATATTAGATCACTAAACTCAGCTAAACTCATTTTAAATCAGATAAATCACCCAAACT